TATATAAGTGTAGAACCTGAAGAAAATTTATCGAATAGAATATTATTCGTTCAAATATTAGTCTATTATTATGATGATATGGATCTTTAAAGTTACACCTCAGTAATATAGACTGTTTGATATGACTTCATAAAAAGGTGAAATCAAAATTTGTCTCTTTGCGATTTTTGTTTAACATTACTTCCGTTTTTAATTCAATTTGATGACTATTCTGTGTAACGGTTGTATTGTTTGCCAGTATGATATTTCATTCAATAGAATATTTGAATAATTTGATTCTGTTGTTTATTCAACTTATGATATTCTTTGTATTGAATTGACGTGGACTATGTTCAACATGACATTATTATTATTATCATTATTGGCTTTATCCAACCTTATATTTTGGGCACAGTATAGAATTCTTAGCACGAATTGTTTCGATAAGTTTTCTTTTCTTATTTTTTGATCGATTCTGACGATAAATATGATTAAACACAAATTCAATAATTTATTCGGATAACCACTGTACTTTTAAAATAGGTTGTCTGTTATAAACAGAACATTTGGTACGATGATGTTATCTTTGACTAAACTAAATCTGGTAATTGTATTAATGTATCATGACTTCTTAAACCTAGTGAGTAGCCGACATGGAAAAAATTGAAACAGTTTAGGAAATGTATTGGTCAATTTTATCTATAGTTTACGGAAGGTAAACCATTCAACGTTGATAATATTTTTGTCAATAAATCCTAATGGTATAAGACTATGTTTTATATTCAATAGATCTTAAATTCAACTTCTACTTATTGATCATTGAATCCAATTTCACAGACCAATATCATGCTTGTATATCTACCATTACTAATCAAATTTGGTCGGTTAAAGTGAGATGTGAAAACCAATCTACGTGATTTAAAAACGTATTCACTATGTTCAGATTTTAAATGGTTGGCGAAAATCACAAGAATGTCATGGACAATAATTTCACGACAACTAGTACTCACCAGAATACTGTATCTGTATTGGTTGATAAAACTTGAGGACCAAATATGACACAGCTACTAAACCAGTAATCATTCAGTGCCAACAATCCTGTCACACAGGAGGTCAGACACCAGGTGAGTAACTTAAGAGTAGAGTCTCTTATTGATATACCAAAGAATGTGAGTATTAAAGAAGCTTGGAGAAACAAGTTCTTTGAAGATTGTAAATATACCATTCCAATGATTGTAAATTAGAATGAAATCTATGTACAAAACTTCCTGAAAAACTGTCTCCAGCATTATAAATTACACTACATATGTAATTATTTTCATATATATATATATATATATATATATATATATATATATATATATATATATATATATTAATTTTGATTAAATAGTTAACTAGATGGGATGGAAGCACTTAAATGGTTAGTTAAATAACAAAATGAAATGAATAAATTTGAGGTTATTTTGCAAATAAAAGAAACAGAGTACGGAGTTTGAAGTTGACCAACCAAACTTCGAAATCATATCAAAATATTAGCGTTAGATAACAAAAAAGAATAAAACACTAATTTGTTAGTTGACTATGTCTACTTTATTATTTACTTCATCGAGGAAGATACTATTCATGAAAATAATGTTTCAGTAGTTGAGATCATGAGTTAATTAAAGCTAGACCACCATGGAAAAGCTGGAAGCACTAGACGGTTTTATTGTGGGACTCCTCAGCAGTGCGCATCCACGATCCTGCTCGCGGTATTAGAATCCAGGACCTCTCAGTCTGTATGACTCATGATCTCACCTATTGAAATTACTACAATCTCTACAAAATTCCCTATGAAATTAATGTTATCAGATAGAAAAATGATAATGTAAAACACAGAAATAACTTATGCAATGTGTAGCAGGATATTTATATGTATCTATATTTGTAATTAGTATGGCTGCCAAAAAGTCAGAAACAGTCTTAAGTCAAAATTTACTCTTAATTCTATTCCGTATATTCTTTAATTACAAAGTTAGAGGATTTCAGAATTTATGATTGGATAATTCATATTTCACTTCTCTACATGTTTTGGTACTAACATCATCAAAATGAAATCTGACGGTACTGAACAGTGTTTAATTACACATTATCATCTTTTTTTTTAAATAACTAGTTGCATTTTCTTTAATGTTGCCAAAACAAATGAAAAGACACACCTTGAATTAGACTAGGAATATTCTCAGTCTATCGCCTTAGTAACCCAACGTTTTTTTACAACTTGTGTTTACTTATCACTCCCCTTTGTAAATCAATATTAAATGTATCTTCCTTTAAATTCATGAATTGTTGACAATGTATTTGTTTTTTTAACTATTTTTGGCGCTTTTTATGAAACACTTAATGATTAGATAGAACCTCAAACATAATATATACACATTGTGAAGACTTTAGTTTTTTTATCGACTGTAATTCAACTGTGAACACATACTGAAATACGTGTAACTTTAATTGTGTTAGAATTTTGATTTGATTGTTAAGAAAACGTTTCTAATTCTTATGAACAATCCTAGATTTCTATTACAAAGTTTCTAACAAATGACATCATAAGCTTTTTGTAAGCAATGGTGGATAGTGGCTAGCAGTGGAAACCAGGACGCGCGTTTCGTCCTATTTGGGATTCGTCAGCCGGACGTACTTGCATCTCAGAGTTGACGTTCACTCTGGGACTCGAACCCAGTACCATTCGCTTCAAAAGCCAAACAACACCAAGATGACATCATAGTTGAATATTTTTAGTCTGTTATTATATGCTTACTTGATTTATGATTAGACTAAACCATTCAGCTCAGTGAACAAAACTCTATCAAAATCATCCACCTGAGCTACAAATCTTCTCCATCATTTCTGGTTTTTGTCCACTTACCGAAACTACTTTTTATCATAAAAGATTTAATGAGATCATTGAAATAATTGAGTTTGCACATTACTTAGCATCATCAAATAGCTAAATATTCACTGTCATGCTTTTCAATGGTTCACCTATGAAATAGATACTGGTAATAGTCTTAGAAAATATTAATATCATATTACAAATGTTTATACTTAATATAAATATAATTCAACATCTTGTTTTACTAAAGTGTGTAGAGAGTAAACAGATCATTTGAATGTATATTTTTAAATAATAAATATCGGAATACGAAGACAAAAATCCGCAATCTTATTATGATGATAGATATTTGACATGATGAATTTTAATGAGATTTCGTACTGTGAGCTGGATGGTCTCATAGATATTTATAGATTAATTATTTTCGTAATTAAATCTAAATATATATACTGCTAATATTCTTCTTCTATCTAACATTTAAGTTTTAAGAATCCAGAGAGATATTTTTCATAGTTATCATGATTATGGTGACAGTGTTCTACAGAAATACACATATTATTATAGTACATAGATTAAATGAATAGATAGAGGAAAAATTACATTTTATCATTATTATTATTACATATTACAGTTTTATTTAAACATTGATTAGGTACTTTTAATTCTTCATTATGTTTAGAATCATTCTTGTCAAGTGAAAACAAAATGATCAAAAAGAAAAGACATTTCACTTTCACTGGCATGAACATGATGTTATAAATAACCACAGACTAAGCTGCGATAATATGTGGTTGCAAATTCACAGTGTGATTTTATGTTCATTTCAATTTATGTTGGGTTTATTAATATATATGGATCACTAAGAATCAGATAATTATTTTACTCTCGTATTGAAAATTTATATCATGACATATCACAACAAAATTTCGGTATTGAATGATGGGTACATTAATCATGAGACAGCAAAGTTAGAAATATGAAAACACTAGATTTTTTCTAACTGGAGCATTTTTCTATTTTCTCATGTGTGCCTGTGTAAATATTGCGAAATTGCCATAACCGTACAAAAGTACCAATATTTCGGAAGACGGTCATTACCACAGTTTGGGATAAAACCTATGTTTTCGTATAATCACAAAACTTACATGATATATATATATATATATATATATATATATATATATATATATATATATATATATATATATATAATGTAGAAACCTGGTCTTACAACGACTTGTAGTGTAATAAATACTGAACATAAACTATGATACTAAACTTTAGTCAACCAGGGTTCTTGGTATCAGTGTTGTTGTGCCACGGGATTAAACTGAAGTGCTTTGTTTGTAAAGAACTTGAATGGTTTCTGGTTTTTCAGAAAACTAATTCAAAATTACCCTCATCTAGGGCTTATTTAACATTGTAAATGACACGATAATGTAAAGCAAACTGTAGTAGAAATAATCCACGAATGTATATTATTTTCAATAAGCTATTTATGATGATTGTCAATGTGTTTTTCTTACTATGAATCCATAATTTAAAAACATAAATGTCTCTTAATAATTAATTGTGTAATTCAAACGATTACCCATAACATCCGAACACCGTATGAGCAAACACGTTCTAAATCAGACGAAAAGAATAAACCGACTATTAAAATTATTACCAAATGAAACAGCTGATAATTCGCAAGCTAGATAAAATAGATCAGTATGCTCGATCACAGAGACAAATTTCAATGCTAGAGGACATAAATACATAGTTAAAACTTTTGTTTAGTATCCTGTATGGTTTATTCAAAATAACTTTCTATTGATAGATATAGGCGATTATTATGAAGATGATAAAGCAACTGGATGATTAAGTAAATAGCGGAAACAAAATCCAGACTTATGTTGATTTTCGCTTTCTGATATCATAGGACACTCTGACTGTTTCCTTTTGAGTAGTAGTAGTAGTATATTAAGCAACTATAACAAAAGACAGATTTGTTCAATTCACCGCACTTTACCTTCAAATGTAAAACTGAACTGGACTTTTTTACATACTATAATGAGGAAAGTATATTTCAAGCTATATATAAGCTACTCGAAAAGCCAACAGCTAATACAAAACATCATTATTTAAAAATTTTTGCCTCAATACAATGTTCAGCAAACACTATGTATTAAGCTAATATTATATAAAACAAATAATGGAATCAGTTTAAATTTTACATTCATAGGATACACATCTGTGAAAAACAAATTACTGTACAGTTATTATAAGATTATTTTAACGTGAAAGACTCAGGTGACGGAGGTCAAGTAGAAAAAATGTATATTGTTCCATAATATTCAAAAATTTACAACTTATACAATATTATCATCATTCTGAACATCTTCAGCGTATTGATTGTCATTATTTTCAGCGTAAATATTTCCTTGTGGATCTTCATATTCGAAGGATCCTTGAATATCAACTATATGATCATTTTCTACAATAGCTTCAGCTTGATGATCAACAATTTCTCCTTCATCGGGTCCAGTAGGAGATACTGGATAAATTACAGATGAGTGTTCACTTTGATGTTCGAAATCTTTTATCGATTGTCTATCACTAAAACTGTAATTTTCGCAACCAGGAGACCTTTGGGGTATTGGTGGAGGTGATTCGGATCGTTCTCTTGATCGACTTCTTTGACTATACCTTGATGATGACCTAGAAGGTAAAGATGGTGGCTTGCGAGTAGCTGCTATTAAAGGTACACCAAAACGGTCTACTGGATGTACCATCTCTGTGGCAAGTAAGGCTGCTGGAAAACCTGATGAAGTGGCCATACGTCGCGATTTATCTTTCTTACCTTGCTTAGAGGTTTTATTTTCTATCTGTCCCTTTGTTAAAGCCATTTGCATTTGATATGTTTCATTATGTTGGTTTCGCAACGACGGGTTTTTAGTGTATATATCTGACGGTAGAGGCTGATCAAACCTATTAAATGTAGGAGCTGGTGATGGTGGTTTTCTTGAGATACTCCCCGTAAGTCTACGCTCTGACGAACTGGTTAATCGTCTTTGCCAATAAGCCATCCATAATTCACCAATTGTATCACCCGCTACTAAATCTCCGTAATTTTGTGCAATCAACCGAAGTAAAAATACCCCATCTGGACCCATATGATTATCAACAAACTGTTCAAAACCTTTTTCAAATTTGTCATATTGACGTATAGTTATTAACTGCTGTTGAATCCAAGTAAGTCTCACAGTTCTTGTACCTATTCTTCTAATCCATATAATAATACTACTGAATGTGACAATGCCGACTAAGAAAAACCACAGCCATAAAAATATGTATATCTTCTCCAAGAACATATTGATTGGGAGTACACATTGCAAAGTGTAGCTGAAAGTAAGAAAGAAAGTAATGAAAATTTTACTATGAATAGCTCATAATACTCGCTTATTTCTTTAAGAATAGGAAGTAGAGTTATTTGAAAATAGTAAGCTTGAGCGTACTAGTGCGAAGCTCACAATTTCGTACTCAATTTTTTTACTTAGCTCCATAAAATCATGGGAGTTATTTGCTATATTTCAAGTTGTTTAGTGTTTTAAATATTTAATCTAGGTAAAAAAAGTCCTTTAGGGTGTTTTAAATGCAATCTCTTACGCCTAAACTTATTTATATGCGATAATTTCTATCCCCAAATGAGACCAGCTAGGGAATTATATTATTTAGAAAGCACTGAAGACAGAACGAACTCAAAGGCCAGAAGATGGTTTCAGCTTGTTACGAAAACCCTCTTAAGACCACTATATCAAAAATTTGTCGTAGCCTGAAGTTTTAATCGATAACCGTGACCTTATGAAGGCAACATAAACACTGATGAGATAGAAACTGACCCATGACTGTGCTTTTTCTACGCTTTGTTTTGTAAATTGATTACAGCTGGAAATATAAACTACTGGATATCGAATTACTTGTTCATAGACGTAGCACTCTCAATAAAGCCTTATTCCCATGTACTTGATTTCATGTTAGGGATGCACTCATACTAAACTGTAGAGAAGGAGACCAAAAATAAACAGTTTCTCAGTGAAATTTGATTCTTATAGTTCTCCGAATTAAGTCAGTTCCTGAGAAAAATTATGTTCAAACAACATCTTATCCAGATTGGCAAATCATTTGGCCATAGATAGAAAGATGAATGAGAGAAACTAATATTTACCATATACCATGAAACTGAATAGCTCTAGAATTTTCATAAGTGGAATCCAACTTTGTAAAGTGTAATGATGAAAAACCAATAACAGCTTTATTTAGCACAGTATTCAACAATTCCTTTTCCTAATTATTACGCTTGTCAATATAAATTGAAGTGAAGAAATCAAAATTAATTTATATAGTTTATTAATCTGTAACATATATCAAATGTAACCATTTCATGGTTTCTAAATTTTATGGATTTTTTTGCTCAAGAATGGAGATTTTTATCTCGAAAAGAGAATTTCGAAGGATTGAACATAATTAACTATTCACTTTACTTCAGTCGAAAGCAAGTTGACTCCAAAAATTTATTAGTGAATTGAAGATGACATTTCAAGTAAAAAAGTAAGGTTTCCGAATAATTATATGCTGAGTCATATGACTAAACTTGTCAATAAAGAATAAGTCAATTCTTCGATTTCAAGTAAATAATCATTCTTCAGTTATATAAATCCCACAGTATTGTGTTTTCATAAACTCAGTTTGTTACTCGGTTATAGAGCAATCGAAGCATCACCACTGAAAAATAAGGATTTTTCCTGTTACTATTTTCTTCTTTGTTGCAGAATGCTTTTTAAATTAAAAATCAATTTGACTGACTAATTGACTCAAACACGATGTGAGTACTTGGTAATATAATTCCACGCTGGCTCTAACGAAGACTCACAGCATACACAACTAAAGTTTTGACTGACCTCAATTAATGATGAAAAGTTACTATGGTCCTGATTAATTTGCTCAATTAAACTTTCGACGAATAATATGAAAGACCATGAATAAAATCGTCAACACCATAGAAAAACATTGTGCATAAAACATCACTCCCCTTGAATCAATAGGGCAATATATGTACTACTCACAGCTGGAAAGTAGATAAATACAGATGAAAAACAAGCTTCACTGATAAGAGAAGCTGACCTGGATAGATAATAATGGTAAATCCATATAAATTAAACAGATAGACTGTTTAAATTATTTTCTTGTTAAATTGTTCACTATTTTATGAAACTTGAGAATAGAATGCTCTCAATCGCTTCATCATGGTATTCAGCATATTTAGTGAAAAGAACTCTAAAAAATTGAGTTATGTTGATGAATTGTAAAATATTCTAACTAAATTTGTTATATTAATGCTTCTCAGAAAAATAAAGAATAAGCACAGGAAGTAAACGATTATAATGACGATAATGAAAGATCCGTAATTGAATCATCTACCTCATAGAACAAAACATCAGAGAAAATATTTACCCAAGCTGAATATCTGCTATTTCATTTCTACACGATTATTTATAGCTGTTACTGTTCATAAAACACTCACTTTTCAAACTGTAACTATAAAAGCTACCTACTGAATTCACAAATTAATTCTACATCTTCCACTGTACCAATTCATTATCCTTTTCAGTAAGTAGTTCCAAATGTGAACAAAAGAGTATTATTTAGATCAGATGGATCGCGGCCAGAAGTGGATCCAAGGATACACGTTTTGTGCTAACTAGAAACCTTCAGTTGGATTTATCTTTATCTCCGTGTTAATGCTTACTAGTTGAAAGTATTAGCGGCTATCTTAACTTAGTAGCTCAGTGTACAACGAATTGGCACTTGAAGTAAAGGGTACCGTGTTCGAGTCTATGTGTGAACACCAATACTAGTTTCCTGGTACATCCTTCTGACGAGTACTGAATTTCACTCGTACCCACCATCAATCAATCTAGAAAATCTCTATATAAAGGCAATCTATATGGGACGTACACATGACAATAACAAAATGGTTACAATCTGTAAATGTTAACAACAGGATTATTCAAACTCTTACTAATAACGATATAAAAAAGCATTACTCTTCAATTAATTTCTATTATCTAGTACATTAAGACTAACCGCTTGCCCGTGAACCGTTTCTGAAGATCTAACTAGTCATCGATAAGAAAAGTGAACTATATTATTCTCTTAGTTAGCACTTAGTTAAAGTTTACAATATATATTTATCATAAAAGTAGATGAAAAGTACATTAAGTTTTTCATCATAAAACAGTCATATGTCAGAATCTGATTGAAGATGGAAGTAGAACATTGCTTAGCACGAACATACAACAAATCTAATAATAAGTAATTTTCAGCTCTGATAAGATCTGAAAAAATCCCTCTCAAACTAACACAGTAACTACTGAATTCTTATTTAATTGTTAAACTTGAACATAGTTGACGTATGTTCTGAAGGTTATAAATATAATTTCACTTAATGTCAAATTTATTCATCTCTAAGAAGTATATTGTATATTCCCAAATTTTGAATAATCATTTAATCATTTTTACATGTTTAAGAACATTTCAATAAAATCAAATTACTATGACATTAGTCAATCATAATTTTGTATATAATCACCACTCAAATCGATACAAAGAATCTGCGTTATTTTGTTTACCATTCAAACTATAAAAAACTACAAAACAATCTTGGTTTACTATTTACCTATTGATAGTTGAAATAAATGACAATCAAATGTATAATTTAGTACACACATGATTCGTCATGTACTAATTTCTTCTAACAAAATAAAAAGTCATGTGTATGCACGTGTCAAGATTGTTTATTCAACTCAGTTTAAAACAATTACCCCTTTAAATTTCCTTACATTTCTAACACTTCATTTCATAGTAAAATTGAAATCATTAAACCAGACATGTTGTCATTGTACTGTTTTTTTAACCGAAAAAATTCTATTTTTAAAACTATCAATTCAATGGAAACGTAACTGGAGAATGAGGCTTGGTAACCGTATTCCTTGACTGTCATTCATTTGTCAATACGTTGTTGTGGAGGTTGTTGAATTTCATTGTTTTCATGAACCGATTAATGTTAGAACACCATTGAAGAACTGTAAGCACTTGAAAGCTGCCTTGTTTATGTATGAGACTCCTTAGCGGTGAGCATCCACGATCCTTCACATTGAATTCGAATCCAGAACTTTTGGTGTGTAACTGCCTAGCACTTGACCTAGTTGAATTCCACTGGTCACAGCTTCCCACAAGAGTGGAAGACGGTGTGATGCGATTACCCACTGAAGACAATGGAAGATGGTCCTCCAATTTGATGGATTTATTTTGGTTAGACATTAACACCGTTGTAGGCGGGGTGTTCGCGCTATACTGAAGGTCCCATGTTCGAGTTCTGCGTGAGGTATCGTGGATGCGCACTGCTGAGGATTTCCATACTAGGGCGAAACGGCTGACCAGCGCTTTCTAGTATTCAATGACGGTTCAACATTAATCGGTTCGTTATTTAAATGAAATTTATTGTTATTCATTATCTCTTTATTATCATTTGTATCTTCTTCCCTTTCGTTTTTGTGAACATATAAACATATAAATACTGATCATTCCTAAATATTATATTAGATAAACTATTCCGTTTTATTCTTTCATTGATTACGATATCTTTTGTAGTACTATTAATAGTGCAAATTAATGTGAAATTTATCCAATTCCAGGTATTCTTCAAATCTTGTTCTTGCTTTATTTATATATCATCCTGTTAAACTCACTGTTAGGTGTCCTAAACCTCATTAAAAGCAAAAAAAACAACGTTTTAAAGATTAATATGACTTGAATAAAGTGATCGTATTTATCGTCTAATACCGGGAACATAAAAGTAATATGATTATCAACACTATAACTACGATGGTTTTGAGTGAACTAGTAATGATACTTCGTTAGAAACTCTGTCTACCTAATGTTTTAAATGTGATTCACATGTCTGAATAAGTAAATGTGGGAAAGAAGAAAAATACCATACAGATTATAAACAGAAAATGTGCTAATTTTACAATAACAATGACATTTACCAAAATTGTGTCAAGTGAAATAAATATATAGGTGAGTAAACAATAGAACGTTATCTTTCAATAACTGCACGCGATTGGCTTTCTTTTATACATTCGAACAAAGCAAAAATAAGCAGATACAAATCTTGTCTTATTGCTTTGTTTTAAAGTATAATCATTTCTAATTTGTTTGTATGAAATGTTAAATAACGAAATCTATAGAATGGTATCATGTTATCATATACAATACTCAAATGACAGTGACGAAAATTGAACAAAGCTTTTCAAGGTTCATATTGAATAATTCAAGCTAAGCAGGCTAAACATTTGAATGCAGGATTATTTGCGTATGAGCTTCTGTTGACAATATATTCTATAAGTATGATAAAATCTATAGCGAATTATTTATTCAAATTTATATCACTAATCTCCTTAGTATATACACTTCTTTACAAACCAAACTAAATCGAAATAGACTTCATCGTGAGTAGTTTATTATGCATTCAGTGATGGAATCAAGTCAAAATCTATTAGTTACAAAGTACAATATATATTCATTAAGATAAGTTATGCACCATCTTGATATCATCTCTAACTTTATCGAGAAACAATGTAATCCCAAATATCTTAAATGAATAATGTTCTTTTCTAAGAGTTCGAATACATTTTAAGAGTTAACGAGAACAAAACTTTTGTTTTGACTGACACCGAAATAACATAATTTAATCTACCATACACATATTGGTGAATGATTTCCCATCAATAATCAATAACTATCAAGTGAAACCTGAAATTTGAGAATAACATTAATTTCATATCAGTCAAATACCTATGTGTCAGCGTGTCTGAGAATTAACCGAACTGTCATAACAATCCAAATGGTTTACAAATGTATATATTCTTGTATATTAAAACATGACTTGCTCTAGAGAAATTCAATAAAATGATAAACTACTGTTGACAAACTTATTTCTTCAATAGTTTCTATAAATTACTTTAATAGAAATGAATGAAATAAAAAGGAGATTAAATCATTTCAATTAATGAGAATAAATCCTGTTTTTACTAAAGCAAAGACATAATTGTTGAGAATCAGGTCAGTATTTCTAATTTATTAAGTTAATTAACGGAAAGGATAAAAGTTATTAAGTGTTTAGACTTAGGTCTGCTATAGTTTACTTAATAATAAAAAAACAACAATTAAATTAAATGGCTGATATTTAAATATGAAGTTTTTCTTTCTACCGAAGGAATGTTTAAAAGAAAATAGCCAAGTTAATCTTTATCAACAATATTGTTCACATCTGAATCTAGAACAGCTCTTTTTGTACGATGTTCTACATTAGTAAATAATGAAGTAGCATATCTAGTTAAGTTATCTATGAGGCAAAAACCAAGTACTTGTTCTAAAAAGGTTTATATTCAACCAATATTTAACGAACGATGTTTCACGAACCTAGTGAGTTCATTGTTTGACTGTGGCTAGTTTTAGTATATTTTATCTTATCAACGTTATATAAATGATTAGTATTCATGATATATATATGCTACTAACAAGAATAATAAAAAGAGATATAGTGTTTTATCATAAATATATGGTATTATTTTCGATTAACTTACTAATGACTTTGTGCAAGCTTCTTTGCTTCAAAATCACAGAATGTCACTCTAGGAAAATGACCAGATTCTTCCCATTGTCTTCCTCTGGCAAGATCGTACAATACTCTAATTCCATAAAAATTATATTCCACACCAGTATAATACTCGAGCAGAAAAATTTGTCCAATTACATTGGATAAATAAATTAGCTTCACTAGCATATACAAGCGAACAAGAAAATTCCCTTGATATCTACACGGTGGTATGTGAGTTGTACATGTTCTTTGTGGATGTTTCGGTGTACGTGTTTCCCAACATGGACAGCAGGTACTTGAATTTTGTGAAGGTTCTTCGATTGACAACTCATTAATAGTCTGTGAACAATCACCATAAGTTTTATGACCAGAATAGTAACTGTTTGGCATCGCAACTGTTTCCAAATTATCTGGTAAACCTGTTTGAGGCATCAACTTGGACGATTTATTGCTGTACTGCTGGTAACTGGATGTTGACTTACGCTTTCTACAGGGTTTGCGAAAACAAAATGAAAATGAAGAGCAACTTTTTCTTTGATGCCTTGACGGTCTTTGAAGTTTTGAATTTTGTTCATATTCCGTCAGTTCTGAAGCTAACCCTGATCTAGTTCTACTTGAAGTACTGCTGTGAATGCGATTTGCACTTCTCTGACCATGCCTAAATACATCACTTTCTGTTTCTGGAAGGTAAAATCCACTCTGACGTTTAGAAGACTGCGTTCGAAAGCTATAGCTATTTTTCTTGAGCTTTTGATCTGAACCAAGGATAACAGCTCGACGTAGTTCCCGTTGTCTCATGAAACACATATCTAAATAACGAGCCAAGGTTTTTACTGATTTAGTTGCAGAAAAGCTAGAATTTGGAGCAGAATTTGAAAAACCCATAGTGTTTAAAGCAGTGACAGAGGTTCGTTTTTTGCTTAGGTTGGCCTGATCAACTTGGCTTGACTGAGTTTGTGGCTGACATGAAGTATCACCTTCAGTTGGAGCTGCCTGGGCTGCCTCTGAAGCAAACTGCATTATCCTCTTTACCTGTAAATAAGATGAATTATCATACTTAGTAAAACAGTTTTGAGTATAGGTTGTATCATACACCGTTGTAGATTATGTACCGACCATTTAAGTATTTCTATTATCTAATGAATGATTTCCTGAACCCTCTTAAATTTATGCATGCGTTACTTAAGATTAAATCACTTTAAATTATTCGGTAATGTTACAATAAAAATAAACTTTGTATTATAGCAATCAAATATGACACAAGTGTTACTCTATTAAACAATTTAAATAAAATACTACATTGAAATTAGGTAAAAGTTACAGTGTTATCATTTCAGAATTCAAACCACTGATTATTCTTAGAAAGGCATGCTTTAAAAGGCAAGAAGCACTAGACAGCTGCTTTATGCTAAATCAGGACTCTTCTGTTTGATTATACTAGTAAATTAACCAAACTAAATGTTTTACAAAGTGGAACAGAAATAAACTACGTAGACATGAATATCTAACTTGTTTCGATTCGACAGTAATGTTTAGTTTTGGTGAATTATAATATAAATAGGAAGTTTGATTCTGCTTGATTCTAAAAAAGGTGGGTTGATTTAAACGCGATACACTTGTTTAACGTTCCTAGTACTTTTATTCTACTAGTTGAATCCAAAGTTTATTTCTGTCCAGCTAGCTGCTAGAGTATGTGACAAGTTCAAACATTCTCAATAGTAAAGGAAATTGTTGAGTCGAAATGGATCTTTCTAGAGTCTGGGATTTTTAATATAAAAGGATTCTTGAGTTACCTATTTTATTTTTGAAAGAAAAGCTCAGCTGTATTTCCTCAACCTCACGTAATCTGGAAAGAAAATGAAGATCCTGAATCTCCTTTTATGATCTAATTCTTATTTATAATTACATTCATAATTTCTCAAGAAATCATATTTCTACCAGAATTTATTGCTTATCTGAAGGTTTTAAAAAAAACTAGTACAAGGAATCCTTCACAAATGAACAAAAGATCTTTACCTTCAATAAGATTTATACTATTTTTCTAACTTACATCATAAAACATATAAATATATCTCATTCACTTATCTGATAACACTATTTATTCTTAGTTGTTTACTTAGTAATATAATGGTCAGTTTTTTTATTTTATTTAAACATTACGTTGGGAAGACATAAACGATGGCATGAAAATAAAAATTAGAAAAAATTATTCTCCATCTACGATTAAAAACAATTCATCTTACTAACTTTAATACATAGTCAACATAATGTAACCATCTGAACTAATTCATTTGTGTTTCTAGTGTTAACCTTCAATATATCATATAAAGTTTGATTAATGGACACTGTTAAGTCCCGATAAACATAATGAACGATAACTTTGGGATCCTTTTATGGACCAATAATAACGTATATTTTTATCGTATAATTATTAAATAACTAAACTGTTCATATTCATGTTCCTCTTATTATAAGCTTTATTTTGACTTATGAACTGTTATTATACGATTCTCCATTCTTGAATTATTCCCTGTCTATTTGTCACTGCTTCCCTCATTCACAGCTACATCTGGCTAGTTCTTGTACAAATATTGTTTTATATTTTATTGGTATGTTGTGGTCTGTTTGATTGGTATGTAAACTCAGTATGTTTGAAATATAATTATTCATATCTCAGAGGTTCGGATTGGTGTTCTGAACTTAACTGGCTGGGCTAGGCGGAAAGCAGGGCCAATCAAGAATATAGACTGCTCGCACGTGTTTTACGCGTCCTTGGTTCGATCGATAAGTCACAGTCATCTAATCGGCGGTCACAAGCTATAACAGATACATATGACTACTCTGTGAAAAATTTAATGTCCGAGTTTATTCCAGTTAATTTGAAAACTTATCATCTTAGTTCAGTGCATTATCTTAAACCTTAAATTTAATACAAATGTAATTTATTTATGTTTAAATTTCTCATCAAAACAATTTTATTCACTGCTTTGCATTTCTCAACAGAATGTGAATAGAACCTTATTCAAAGTAGTTCTAATTCCGAAATGGACTACATCAACCAAGAATATGACTGTCATTCTTCATGAAATAAAGATTTCAATTTAGTTTACAGTGTCATACGTTTGTACTGGAAACAGCGTATTAAGAGTTTAGTAATTACATCTTAAAGACTGTTTCGTAATAGATACTTAGGAATAAATATATGAATCAGACTACGTATTTAGACTGTTGTAAGATCCTCAATAAAGATTTGCTGAATTCAGCTTCAAATTAAGTAAAAGTATTCGTAAAACCTGAAAATACTAGTTTTTTCATAAAGATTCAAAACGGAGTCACATTACTTTATCAGTTCATTGTTAACATTTTCATCGTTGAACTTAAGCTCTGTAGATTAGAATTCTTAACTCAAAAGTTTCCTAGACGTTGCATATGTAACTTGTCGATAGTACTGAAATTTTAGCTCAAGGCTTATTTCTGTCATTCTTCAAAATCAGGTATCTTATGAGAAGCAGTGTAATTTCACGTACCTCAACCTGATATTTACACTAACAACTTAATTTATCATATGTTGCTGATCTGATAAGACGATTCTAGTCATTATCCAGTTAAAGCTTTCTGTTTTCCAAATTATTCAATGGATTATTCATGTACCATACACTAATAATATTGATCAAATAATATAAAACATTGGAGTAAGTCACAGAATCAACACATTTCTGAAAACTACAATAATGATTCTGAGAACTAATCTGAACTTAAATAAAGAGATTAAATTATTTGACAGTTTAAATATAAAGGAATTTCCACTCTCTATATGAGTTTTTTAAGCAGCCAACAAAACTAAACGTAATTTTGATCATGAGTGATAATTTCAATATCAAGGTACCTTACTGTTCAAGTTTTTCTCTGTTATAGGATTGACAGTTTGCTGATACCTAAATTAGAACGAATCTAAAAAAAATAGTTGAAATAGAGATAATTTGACAACTTATCTATCCTGATAATAACAATCACGAAAATATTCTGTACATTTATAATTTTCAATGATTACCTAAATGAAAATCTTTTAAAGATGATTAAGTTGAATTAATTGTGTTGAAGAGGTAAAATTCATAAAGGTGTCCTACTATACAGATAATAATTCCAGAAGTAACATAATCCAGTGAACCACAAAACTAAAAGTTACATTCACAGTCCAAATGACGTGATTAAAACAAAACGGAAAAAAACTTTTCATAAGACTCTATTTAAAATATATAGTACTCATAAAATCATAATGCGACAGTAGAATAATGATCTAAGTCAACTTTTGATAAATAAATAATCATAATTCTTGTAAACAGATTGTGGTTAACAAATTCCACCAACTTAATATAAATTCATTCAATTTCTTTTCAAAACTCAGCAATTGAGATTTCAAATATGCAGCAGCTTGCATTCTCTCTGTTTTTATATGAAAAAAAATTGGAGGCATTTATGATATATGTTTGAGACATTTGCTACAGAGTTTCGCCGATATCATTGACATCATGGAGACAAACACTTTAAGAAGGCATTGTTTACTGTACTTGATACTGAGGTTATTTTTGCTAGAAAATTTTATTTGTCAAGCTAGCTATAACAACGTCTCCCTCAATTATCTTGGACAAATAATTCTAAGGTTTTCTAAATTTGTTTTACACTTGAACGTATAGTTCACTTTAAGTCATTTCTGGATTGTATGAATCTTTGATTATCTTATATTCGGATAATCACCCGATGTAACTATGTTGATGCAAAACAGAAAATCAATTTACTTATCAAGCTGAATATTTTTAAATTCATAACTATTAGAAAGCAATAATGATCGTTTACTGAATAAACGACATATTACACGTGAATATTGAAATAAAGAATTGTAAAAACATATGACCTTCTTAGTTATTTCAATGTATAATGAATAATGGTTAGTATTAGTAACGAGGATGACCGTATCGTACAACTTTGAACTCGTCTACTGAATATACTCGCTATTGTATACATTTTTTTATTTGTGTGTATAATAGAAAAATGTAAACTTACTTGAAATCCGGATTGACCAGCAAAAAGTCTCCAAATAAGGCATGGTAAATAAAATAAAAATGACTGAACAGCTAATAGAATAGGAGCCCATTGATAATAACTAATTAATCGACCATCACTTGGTAATTCACCAGCTTTTGGTTTTGAAAATTTTGGAAATATTGAATAAGGCTGTAATACACGCTGTCCATTTGTATCTATATAACCGTTTGGCATAAAATTAGACTGTGATATCATTATATTTGATGTTGGATATCTGGTTAAATGTATAAAATATGTACTGGCTACCCAACAATAATTTTCTGCATACTCCTCCCATGCTCTAGTAAACTCTTGTGGTGTCCAGCATTGTATCGGTTTACCTGAATGATTTTATGTTAGAAGAGTAAAAAGCAAAATATTTATAAAAGTATTACATAAAACATTGACGTGTAATTGTTAAAAGACATACTTAAACGTCATGTAGAGTTTTAGTTCCCACATGATTCTATATATGTTTCTACAAAAAGTGTCACATATACGAAGCCAAGTTTCACAGCGTTTTACCTATCGTCTTGAGATAAGAAGGGCCACGTAGGGTATTGTTACCATTCACTACATATTACAATTTTTTAATTCTATGTGAAATGTTAATGATTTGCAATTTTTATTAAAGTATGAACAGCTAAAGAACTAGAATAAAACATCAATCTTTATATATATAGCTCTTTTTCCACAAAGAAACATACCAATACATAAAACTTGGAATAGTAGTCAACCATAAAAAAACAAACATTCAAAGGTTTTATTCTCTATAATAGAAACAGCTTTTATTGGTCATAATGAAAAAAGTTGAGTTCAAGAGTCAAATCAAGCTAGACCAACATGGAAAGCCTGGAAGCACTGGATGGTCGTTTCTTCTTAGTATGGGATTCCTTAGCACTGAGCATCAACGATCCCGCCAGGACCTATCGATCTCGCGCGCAAGCGTTCAACCTCTAGATCATTGAGCCGGAATCCAACAGTGTTAATGTCTAACCTCAGTCAATACACGTAATTTAGCCACAGTCCACCATTGTTATCAGTGAGTTACTATCTCACAAAAGACCCTGTTGAACTCCAATGGTCACTCCTTTTCACTAGAACTCCAAGAAATACCTTTTGGAGGCACTTACTAGTGAGTATGTGATTATTATTATTATTATTATTATTATTATTATTATTATTGAGTTCATGAACTCAACTATTAAATTACTATAATATCCACAAAAACCCATTTCTGATAATATTGAAAGTATTCACTGATGAATTAATTCTTTTGCAGTACAGTTCTGATCTTTCTTTATAGCTTTGGTAAAAAAGTGTGTATATAATTTAATGTATGATTATCAGTGAGATTTTATTTATTCAATGGTTTCTAAATACCTGAACTGTAAAATGATAATTTTGTTTTCAAACTCACTATCATTGATCTACTTAGATAAAGTAAACGTAAGTTCACAAATGACTGTTCAGATATTCTTAATTGCATATCAACTGATTATTTATGTAATCAAAACTAAAAGCTATCAAACTGTGACTGGGTAAAAGAAGATATAACACGATATTCTTAAGACTCTTTTAATCAATAATCAGAAACTGAAGCGATAGTACCCAGTCATTTCTTGTAACTAAAATTAATCAAACTCATTAGATATAATATCATTCAAACCATTGTAATGATAATTTGAATAAAATTATTTGGTTCATATATGAGAATTAAGAAAGGGATTATGACTTTCATATCATGGTTCATCTTAAGACTGAAAATATATGAAGTACATTGCATCTAGTAATATTGTTTCTTATTTATTCTAATTTATCTTTAGATGAATTCACTTATAAATTGTTGATTTTCTGCATCAGTTTTATTTATCTTCTTTTACTTTCCATTTTAAAACTACATAAGCATGTAAGAATACAGAATATTCAAACTCTTCTTTTTATAGAATTCGGTTGCCTTAGTTGCTTTTACTATATGTGAACCTACCAAATGGATGCAAATAGACAGTATGTACTATTTTCAGTATTTAGTTTTGACTAACTACTAATAAACAGAATTTTGTAATTGTTTATATAATGCCACAACAATACCGCTGTTGTACAAATGAATGCGTTCTGATGAGATTATATATACACACTAAAGTTTTCAAATGTTTCAACATGGTTACATGTATATTCAAGCCTCTATATATTTTTACCAGTAATAATTATTAGTATTCCTTGTTAGTGTTTTCGTAGTCACTTTTTCTAATAAGGCTGAAATCGAAATATGATGAATATGGAAACCGGCTATTATTCGATTTTGATGACAAATAGAATAAATAATTTGACTTATTCATTTCTTTTGGTAATTCATATAATCCTTGATTTTATTTCTGCTAACCCTGAAGATTAAAAATACTATCAGAGCTTAGTGTTTATAATAATTAATAACCATTTTAATTTAAATAATTAAAAATATAATTCCACTTCTAAAATAAATAGATACATTTCAAAATTCCCTAGTCAGAATACATCCTTTTAAACTATTTTAACGATAAAACGTTAGCAAAGATGGATAATGGCTAGTAGTGGAATTCAGGACACGCTAACCACCGCTAGCCATCATTCAGCTTTGCCCATAATGCTTGTGAATTAAGGTAATATCGAGGCAATACGCACAGTATGCACATATGCCAATAAGAGACTGATGAATTGCAGTCCTAAACAAGGATTAAAAGATTCAAGTAAACAATAACAAGTGACAAAACATTAGACTGTAAATTAACCAACAACATGTCACTGATTAAAGGGAGAACTAAAACAGTTATCAAATTCATCTAATCTTAAATTGACTGTCCAGTCAGAAAACATTTTGAAGCTTTTGTTCAATGATTATATAATTTAATATCGGTAAAGCTAAGAAGAAAGAGTTCTAAAAATGCATATACGTTTACTTTCATTCTCAAATCTCATTCATGTGAAGAAGATATATATATATATATATATATATATATATATATATATATATATATATATATATATATATATATATAAAAGAACAGCAAAAACATATACCAGGAAATAACATCAAAAACTGTTCCCTCTGATCTATCGAACTCTGACTCATCATTGAGTAACACAATCAGGTTTTATGAGACTTTAGTGCAGACCGAATTCAATCAATCAAACTGGAGTTCCAACCTCAAATCCACTATGTCTTAATGCATTTTATAGAATGTTATAAAGCTAGGTTTGCATAACTATAACCACCTATTACTTAGTGATCTAAGTATTTTATGTTTCCCACTATATGGTAAGATTATGAACTTCATATTACATGGACTTATTGGTACTCAATATTGATCAGTATCAGGCTAAAAGAATATAGTTTACTGGTGTTATTTAAATTTCAATAATTTGATAGTTGCTTTCAGTTCAAATCATACACATTTTCTCATAAAAACACCTTTAAAATATATCACATAAGCTACTTATTTTTTGTATTATAAAGACAAAAATACCGATTTTGTTTTTTTAAGCCAATTATATCCTTGTGTTTATGGGAAATTTCCGAATTTCTTAAATAATCCTTTACAATATAAAATAATCATTTAGCTTTCTCTTTACTAGAATTCAACATAGTAAACTTTATGGATAGTTGGTCTACTTTAAATATATGAGTTAATATCAGCTGTGACAAAAGTAATTAACACCGCACTATAGAAGTAAGTAATAATATTAGCTAACACTCATATAAATCTACATTATATATACATTTTTCTCCAAAATATGCCTAACATAAGGGCATAACCTTAATGAAAACGTATTTATGTTAGTGAATGACAGTGTTTAATTAGTCAATATGTTCATTTTTAAAGTAATGAATTATTGAATCGTACTATTCAAATAGTCCATAATTTGTGACAATATTATTGATTAGTTACCGGCTGTTCTCTTTTTTCATACATCAATTAATTACATTAGAAATGAAATTAGTAAAACTTTGAAATACATAAAGTGAAAAATGAACTATGTCCCTATTTGTTTAACTAGACTAATAGTTTAATATCTTATTTATGGATAAATTATATACATATGATTCTCTCTCTGTAAAACAATCAAATTTACTGTATGTTTTATAAAATAATCCTGAGGTTAAATTGAAAAATTTTATAAATGTTTAAAATGGAATTAAAATATCAATTTTCGGGATTAGTGAAGATTGTAGTATTTTTAAAGTTGAATTCATGAGTTAATTTAAGTTAGATCACCAGTAAAAACCTAAAAGCACTGGAAACAATGGTTTCGTCCTAGTATGGGACTCTTCAGCAGTATATATTCACGGTCTCACATGTTATACTTGAACTTAAGGGCATTTCTTCCCTCGTAACAATATAAATAAATAGTTTAGTAACATTTTGATAATTGAAAAAATCACAGTCTGTGTTTCAATTTAGTGTTCAATTCACTGCATAAGAAAACAATGTACAATTTCTTGAAAAACTGTAAATTAATAATTTTCTTTGAAGAATGTATAAGTTAATATTGATGTAAATTGACTTGGTATTGTTTACATGAATCTTCTAATTGATGTTTAGGACTGAAATTGATCAGTTTCTTATTGGCATATGTTTATACTGTGAGTAATGCCTCAATATTGTCTTAATTCACAAGCATTAACAACAGTGATGGACTCAGTAGCTAAGTGGATAACGCGATGGCGTTTGAAGTGAACGGTACGGGATTCGAGCTCTAAAGTGAATATCAACTCCGAGCTGCAGGTACATCCAGCTGACGAGTCCTAAATAGGACGAAACGTGTGTCCTGGATTCCACTGCTAGCCACTATCCATTTTTATTTTTAATGTTGATGTACTGTGATGTTTTAGAAATTTTATTTACAGATTCATTTTATTGATCGTCATTACAAAATCATTTATTATTTGTAACAGCTATTGTTTGAAAAACAAAACGAAGTTTATGTTAAGAAAATGTATTGTTCATAAAGTGTCAATCACAGACAACAAAATATCTCAATTCCGCTTTACAAATTAATCACCATAGCATTTTGTCTATGAATTATCTAGAAAATTGTTTGACAACTGTAAAGTGTATTTTTAGTTGAAGTTTTACTCTTAAATGATATTTGAAACAATTGTTAAGATTAAATCAGATTATCGACTATTTAATTAATTCTTTGGTTATTAAGTAAATAATAATCCGTGGAAAATAATACTTTCCATTGATGACAGCTAATTCTTTGCTGTTACGTCACAAAACATTTGTACTATTTAGAAAAAATGAAAATGAAATATTGTTGATGCATTTGAATAAAGTCAAGAGTTCACTTTCAAATTTGA